ATTGATTTGATTTCTATCAGCCATCAATACAAGTGATAATGATAGCATGAACTTCACTTACCATCCTCTGTTCATTTGAATCAGCATCTTGCCTGAGATGCAGATAAAGGAAGAGAGGAAGGAAGAGAGGATAAAAATTTTAAGGAGTGACTAAATGAAAGATCAAATGAAAGGAATATAATAAGCTCACTCTAGATGAACCGTGTGAAACACCGCTGACTCTTCCACGGGCTGGTTTGAGAGACGGTTGATCGCCAGGTAGAGATGCTGATCATTCACGTCGGCGGTGAACATATGAACCGCGTGAAACACCGCTGACTCTTCCACGGGCTGGTTCTAGAGACAGTTGATTGCCAGGTAGAGACGCTGATCGTTCACGTCGGCGGTGAACATGGGCGTCCCTGACATCGCGGACCCCATCAAACAGACGACGCCAAGAGTCAGAGGATGGGGTGATCATCCCAGGTACTCGTCTAGCTGGTGTAATAATGCGAGACAAGCGCCTAGGTGCCAGATTACCATTGTCAGTCTCGTATCCAGAAGTCTTGTATCCAGAAGACAAAAAGGAATCGATGGTTGGTTGTTTGTTGAAAGTAGACATGATTGTATGTTTTCTAAAGGAATCGAGTAAAGATTCAAATAAACTAATGATATTGTTCTAAGGGAATTGATTGAAAGTTTGATGGAAATAGATTCAAGATCAGTTCTAATATTGATAGATGATGCAAAAAGGAAAGAAAGTAGGTATACGAGCCTTCCTATTAAGTTGAAAATACCAGGTCTCCGAGTGACAGTCAATATTGAGTGTCCACACTTGGTAAATTGAAGCCATGATCGAGAGACTTGAGAGCCGGCACCAGATCCGATCGCTAGAATCGAGGAGGGCGACGACTCGAGAGAAACTGTGGAAGGCAATGAAAGGCTTTCAGAGTCGGCACCAGGTCCGATCGCCAGAATTGAACAAGGTGAATGATTAGGGTGGTGGTTCGAGAGAAGCTGTGGAAGGGAATGGCTGGAGATCGTGTGGGCTAACCCCAATAGAAGATAGGAGGCGGTGGCGGTTATAGTAGTGGTGGCGGCTGTACAGTAGGGGCAAGCGTACCGGTAAAAATCCCGGCCCCGAAATGATAGCTGTAAGCGTAACTGTCGGATTTTTCAGGTCCGGGGTAACGCAGTGGCCATGCCCGGCGCTACGCCACGCCACGCTCCGCGCTACTTTCTGCGCAGCGAGCCAGGCTTGATCACTTTGCGTAGAACTTGATGGACTTGGTGCTGCAAGCTTAATCATCCAAGCTTGAATTGTCCTCAAATGGGCCCTACTTACACTTTTCTTCTTTTGAATACGATGGGTTTGTTTTTTGCTTGTCCAGATTTACAACTTCTTCACATATCTTCGGGTTTTCAGGTACTAGAGGGCCTAGAAACAAGCACGGGCCTCAGAATCACATACCCAGTGTAATCCTTTTGCAAGTTGCAGAGATCAAGATCTTAGACTGAATACTCACAGGTGTATTCTTCAAATGAAACACTGCAGGAAAAGCAACAGAGACCCTGCAAGATGTCAAT